TCAAAACTAAAAGTTAAACTTGGCTTTATGGATTGACCTGATTAAAAAGATTTTGAATATAATATGAAAGTAGACCTTAAGTAGAATAAATTCTTTAAACTGTTTTAAAAAATTCGCAGGTTATTACATTTATAGGAGCCTTTTAAAGTTGGGCCAAATTGATTAAAAAGTAAAGCGAACCAGCATTCTCTTCAACAATTTGTGAAATTTCAAATAAAATATTTAAATTTAATTAATTTTTTTTCTGAATTACGTTTATTCAACTTAAATTTCTTGTGATTCATATAAAAAATTAACAAGATCATTAAAATAATTTACAAAATTTCATTTCGTGTTGTTTTTTTTTTACACAACAACAACCAAATAAACTACATTAATCAATTGTTATTAATCTTAAAGCGTTTTTTTTCTTTATATTTAACAGCCACTGTAAAAAATAAAGTAAAAAATATTATAAATTTTAAAAGCAAAATTTATGTATAATCCTTGAAACATTTGTAAGAAGGCTTGCTGCTGTGAGGCTTAATCATCGCTTGATTTCATCATGATATTATATTAAAAAAACAAAATTTTTGCAGAAGCAAAATAACAAAACTTAAAATAAAGCAAATAACCAGTGACAAGCGAAAAAATAAAATACCAGCAGCCTCAGACAGACATATTTTAATCCCCCTTCTCGAAAAAAAAACGTTAACAATGCTTTTTGTTAAAAAAGAGGGGCAGCAAATAAAAATATTTGTCCTGCTGGCGCTTGCTAAAAGATTTGGTTGTTTTTTTGTTTTTCGAATATATTTATGGTTTTTGTTTAATAAACATTAATGCCTTTGGAAAAAGATTTAACATAAATTTTCAAAATTTATAACAATTTACGACATTCATAACAGCTTGTTAAGCAAATCCATAAAAAAATGAAGAAGCCTGCTCTTGAAAAACAAACCAAAAAAAAAAAACAGAATCTCCCAGACAAACTGCTGACTTTTAAGTAACATATGAGTGGTTACCAAAAAGAAATATAATAATATAATAAGGAGGAAGTAGGTAACCTTTGTTTTTTATGCGCCTTTTCACGGTTGGATACTTAGAGGATTGTCATTGTTTCTTGAAAGCAAAAACAAAAAAAAAAAAAATCCACATACTTCACACAAAATATTTCTTCTTTTCTTATTATTATCATTATATATTTTTTTATTATTATAAAAATTGTATATTTATAACATGCAGCCCCAGAACTTGACGCATTTACATATTGTTAAACTTGGCACAGCTGGACATTATTTCAATACTTAGCTGCTCGGTGTCTGTTTCAAAACTCTCAAAAATTGTTTTTTCTTTTTCAAAATGAAGAGTGACTTTGTTATGGTCACACAGCGGGATAAATTCTTTTTGTTTCATTTGACAAAACTAAAATAAAAAAGAACCTTTTAAAACCCTATAAAAAAAAGCTCCCACAATAAGATCTTTTTCTGTTTTTTGGGTAACACCAAGTCAACTGTAATGGTGACGCCAAAGACGCCTAAATGCTCAGCTATTGTTTTCATTGTTCCTATAACTTACTCCCTCTCCTAACTCTCTTACTGGCATAACAAAAAAATCCTTTTACTATATAAATCGTTAAATGGTTTTTATTATATAGATTTTGAAACAAAAAACAATAAGAACTATAAAAAAATTCATATTTACTTACTTTGTTTTGTTTCCTTTACGGCTCTTTATATAGATCATTTGAAATCATATGATCGTTTGTTCTCCAGTTTTAATACTCTGGTGGCGTCACATGGTCATTTTGTCGCCGTTAATCATTTTATATATTTAATATAGCTGCTGCAATAGGCGCCCCCTCTGGTTATTCAGTTTTAAAAAATTCCTTCTTATTTTTTGTTCTGTCTAAACTGGTTCGTTCCCCCGTTAAGAGGAAATTATTAAAGAAAATTATGAAGGAGTTACTGCTTTGCTGTTAAACAATAATGATGAAATAAAATTAAGAATTAAATTGTTAAATATGTTACATTAGGTTAACAGTTGGATATGAAAATACCGGGCGTTTGAATGAGCGGTTCTATTAGAATGTCATAGATAATTAAACTGAAAATTAGTTACGTTGTACATGCATATGTGTGTGTTGAAACAGTTGTTGAAGGCCAACTAACAGTTGTTTTACATGGGTTTTGTTAGGGGATTTAGTCAGAGATATGAGCAATATAAGAGATATAAAATGGATATTACCAAACTAAAGAGAGAGGAAAACAGGCATGAACATTTTAAATTTTGAAATGGTATAAACGTATAACAGAGAGAGATTTCTTTTTAGATTTTAAAGTGCTAAAGTAAATGATCACTATACTTAAATGATCACTATATAGACGATACTATAGACTATACTTCAGACTAGAATATGAACTAGACTATAGATTAGACTATAGACTAAACTATAAACTAGACTACAAACTAGACTATAAACTACAATGTAGACTTGACTGTAAACTAGACTATAAACGAGACTATAAACTAGACTTAAGATTATACTATAGAATAGACTATGGACAACTCTATAGTCTAGTCTAGATTATAGACTAAAAAAACTAGAGACTAGATTATAAATTTGACTATAGAATAGACTATAAACTAGACTATTGACTGGACTATAAACTAAACTATTAACTAGACTGTAAACGAGACTATAAACAAGACTTTAGAATAGACTATTAACTAGACTGCAGAATAGATTATATACTAGACTATAGACTATTCTATTCTATAATCTAGTCTAGTCTATAGTGTTGTCTATAGTCTATTATATAATCTAAAGTCTAGTTTATAGTCTCATCTATAGTCTATACTATATACTAAATTAGATTATAGACTACACTTTTGACTAGACTAAAGACTAGACTATAGACTAGACTACAAACTAAACTATTGACTAGACTATATACTAGTCTATAGACTAGACTAAACTATAGACTAGACTATAGACTAAACTATAGACTAGACTATAGACTAAACTATAGACTAGACTATAGACTAAACTATAGACTAGACTATAGACTAAACTATAGACTAAACTATAGACTTGACTATAGACTAAACTATAGACTAGACTATAGACTAGACTAAAGACAAGATTTTAAACTAAACCTTTGATTAGACTATAGATTAGACTATAGACTAGACTATAGACTAGACTATAGACTAGACTATAGACTCGACTATAGACAAGACTGTAGACTAGACTATAAACTATACTATAGACTAGACTATAGACTAGACAATAGACTAGACTATAGACTAGACTATAGACTAGACTATAGACTACTATACACTATAAACTAGACTATAGACTACTATACACTAGACTATAGGCTACACTATAGACTAGACTATAGACTAGACTATAGACTAGACTATAGACTAGACTATAGACTAGACTATAGACTAGACTATAGACTACACTATAGATTACACTATAGACTACACTATAGACTAGACTATAGACTACACTATAGACTATACTATAGACTAGACTATAAACGAGACTATAAACTAGACTGTAAACTAGACTATAGACTACACTATAGACTAGATTATAGACTAGTCTATACTCTGGTTACCCCCAAAGTGTTACGAAAAAGTAATTCAGTTTGAGGTCCCTTTAAATTTTTAAAAAGTTTTTAGTCAATTCAAAAAAATTAATAATTTTTTTAAAATGTTCTTAAATTAATAAAAAAATGACATTTTGGTAAAAATTTATTTGGGTATTTTTCAGTTTGAACCTTTTGTGGAATGTTAAAAATGGAGGCCAACAAGTTTGTGTGTTGCCTTTAAGCATTTTTTGTTTTTGAAAATTACTTAAATTCTATTACAGTCTAAAGCAGTGAACGGCATTAAGAGATGTTTATAAATTTAGATTTTAAAATCATTTAGTTGGACAAAGTTTTAATAAAATATCAAATAGTAACTTTAGAGGCGAATTTTATTTAGTACGTAATATTCTTTAGATACCTGTTGTTTATAGCAGTTGATCAATGATTCTTAAGCATACAATTGGTGTAAATAAATGACAATAAAAATTAACAAAAAAAAAAAAAAAAAAAAAATAACATAAAATTTCTATAAAAAACGGTAATAAAATCAAAATAAAGGCCACACCTTAAAGCTGCAAATAAATTAAAATTATTAAAAAATTATAAAATAATTGCTTTTAAAATGAGAGGAAAATTTTCCCTAAACAAATTTAATTCACAATCTTTATAAATTTTTGCACTTAACAGCAGTTTTAGTTGCAACAAACAAATGATTTTATGCTAACAACTAAATTTTTTAGTTGCAGCAACAAAAAACTATTAAAATAAAGTTTTTGAATAAAGATTATTGTTACAATTACAAAAGTTGATCGCTGTAATGATTTAAACTAAATTGTTCAATTGCAGCAACAAAATTCTATTAAAGTTAAAGTTTTTTAATCAAGATTTTTATTGGAACAATTACAAAAGTTGGTTGCAGTTGCTATATTACACACTTTGCAATCTTTCTTCAGTTTTAGTTGCCACAAATTAATAATTCTTTGGTAACAACTAAATGTTTTCAATTGCAGCAATTAAATATTATTAATGCAAACAAATTATTTGCTATATTACTCACTTTGCAATCTTTTTTCCAGTTTTAGTTGCTACAAATGAATAATTCTTTGGCAACAACTAAATGTTTTCAGTTGCAGCAACAAAATAATATTAAAGCAAACAAATTCATTGTTTTTGAAGAAAGTTTTGTATTTACAACAATTACAAAAGTTGCTTGCTATAGCTAAATTAAACACTTTGCAGTAAACAGTTGCCTTGTATTGAAAAAATTTTCTGTTGAAGTATTTTTGTTTTAAATTATGTTTCTTTTTGTATAAATGGTACAACAAGTTAAACATTTAGTTAAAAATAAAAAAGTCCTACGCATATAAATTTGATTAAATCATTATTAATTTTTTATTGTTTTCTTTTGTATTTTTACAGATTATTTTTTGTGACATTTGCAGCCAATCAGACTGGCAAGTTGAAAAACAACAAAAACTATAACAACGCCCACCATTATTATTATTTTGAAAAAAAAAACTACCACCAACAAACAATTTTACAAACGCCATACTAGTTGAAATCTAAAAAAAACAACGACAACAATAACAAAAGTGCTAAAAAGGCGTTTAAATCAAGCATTTGAAATAACACGTCACACTGTCAGCAACTCTCTTCATAACGGTTGTTATCACCCAGAACCACAAACAATTCAACACTAACATTTCAAACATCAAACCGTGTACAACGCGCAACAACGAGCCAATCAGAATAAAAAAAATTACGAAAATAAAAACAACAAATAAGTAAAAAAACATACCGACGCCATAAAAAAACCCCCAAGATTAATCATTCTTATCAGTTTGATTAAAAAAGTAACAAGAAATTCTAATAACAAAATAAATAAAGAACAATTAAAACACACAGTGTTAGTGGATATAAAAGAAAGAGTGTATTAAAAGTAACAACAACAATAAAAACAAACAATTACACTAATACCATTATAATAATCAACTACTTTAGAGAGTAATACATAACGTAATCATATACGCAAGTACTCTAGAAATAGAATAGAAAAAAATAGAGTAGAGTAAATTTATAACGGTTTAACTGTGTGATTTACACACGACAATTGTGAGTGAGCTTGATTTAACTGTTTGTTTGTTTGCTTTGTTTATTTCATTTGTGTGTCCTCGTTGTCTATCTTTTTTTTTTTTTTGTATTTTAACATCTGTTGTTTGTGTGTGTATTAGTGTGAAAAAGTAGAAAAAAAAACAACAACAACAACAACAGCAGAAGAAGAAAAAAAAGCACTACTAAGCACCATGTTCGCTGTAATGAGAATCGACAATGATGACTGCCGGTCGGACTTTCGTCGCAAGATGCGTCCGAAGTGTGAGTTCATTTGCAAGTATTGCCAGCGGCGTTTTACCAAACCATACAATTTAATGATACACGAACGTACCCACAAATCACCAGAAATCACATATTCCTGTGAGGTCTGCGGCAAATATTTCAAACAACGTGATAATCTCAGACAACACAGGTAAGTTTGTCATTTATTTGATATTTCATTTTGTTAAAATATGGTGTATATTGTATATTGTTAAAAACCTTGTAAGGATTTTTGTTTAAACAAAAGAAAAGTGTTAAATTTTTTATTCACCACGTGTTTTTCAACTAATTTGTAACTTAAAACTGTTAAATTTGTTAAAAAATGAGTTTTTCTACCCAAAAAATTAAAAATTTTCCTATATTTAACTTTCAAAATTGAAAATTATATAATTTTCTGTTATAATCTATTAGCAAACTTGCTAAAATAATAGAGATTTTAAAAAGAAATTAAATTTTTTAAAACAATTATCTCTCACTTGGCTTTCCAAAGAGGGCTGACAATGTTTAAAACTTTCAGTTAATATAAAATCAAAACCCTTATATAGATTTCTATAAAAGTTGTTATAACTGTTCTTTATTTAATTAACTTTCAGTTAACATATAATTTTTCTTCAAAATGTTAATAGTTATATGTTTATTAAAGTTTTAAAACTTGACATTTTGAAGGAAATTCAAATTTGTATAATTTCAAAACCCCTTTACCGATTTTAATGAAATTAACTAGATATATTCTTGTTATAATGAGCTTTCAATTGCTTTAATACTGTTCAAAATAAATTACTTAGTTTTTAAGTTATAGGCTTTTGAAAATTGAATATTTTGAAACATTTGTTAAAAATTAACTCAACTTAAGTCTCTTATAACTTTAGATGGCATCATCGGATTTTAATAAATATGGTGTTATCTGAAAGCTAATACAATCATGTCTATTTCTGTTTAAAATTAAACTTAATCTTTTAAATGGTCCGAATCTTATAACACTCCAAAATGACGGCCTTTATTAAGGTTTTAACACCAAGCATTTTAGAATGAAATTCAAATGTATATAATTTCGAAACCCCTTTACCGATTCTTCTAAAATTAACTAGATATGCTATTGTTATAATTAGCTTTCAGTTGCTTTATTACAGTTCAAAATAAATTACTTTGTTTTTAAGTTATAGGTTTTTGAAAATTGAATATTTTGAAACTGTTATTAAAAATTAAGTCTATTTAAATCTCTCTTAACATTAGATTGCATCATTGGATTTTAATAATATGGTGTCACCTGAAAGCTAATATAATCATGTCTATTTCTGTATATGATTAAACTTAATCTTTTAAATGTTTTGAATCTTATAACACTCCAAAAATAACGCCTTTTAATAATTTTGAAAATATGATGATTCAGCGTAAAAAGTGTTATAATTTGGAAATTTGAGAAATACAATAACTTTTATAAGATTTTCACTTTAGCTGATCTGTAGATGATAAGTAAGGTTAAGGTTTAAGAAAAATTTCAAAACCTTTTTTTATTTGAAAGTTTTAACTGTTTTTACTTAAAGATTTTTAACATATTCAAAAATATACCTTAACTTTTTATGAAAAATACTGTAAAATTTATTATATGTTAAGCTAACTGTTTACTTTTCTATATACCAGTAGTTAGTAATGGGGCTTTTAGTTAAATGCTTATTTATTAATTGACATTTTTCTTTTCCTTTTTCCCTTTTTTTTCTAGATGTAGTCAGTGTGTCTGGCGATAAATTACTCTACTATTCTACTATATTTTGTTGTAAAGCACCATTTTTTTTTAAATAAATGTCACCACTTATTTACCACGCACTTTACATATATGTATACATAAAAAACACAGCAACTGCAACAACAACAAAAAACAACAATAATCATAAAACACCTTTAAGTATTTTACAAAAAAAAAAAAAGATAAATTTTGAATAAAAAATGCAACATAAAATAGTGTAGAAATAATTAAAAGTAAAAAAACACCAAGTATGGTCAAAGATATACAACTCAACAACAACAACAGCAATCACTCATATGTAAAAAAATAACCATTTGAAACACACACTCACATTTTATTCCTTCTAAAGATCATAAAAAAAGATCATATGGTTTCTTAAAATAACTGCTATGGTGGCTGGTTTAACTATTTATCTAAATCCCAATTAAAGCTTAAACATTATGGAAATGATCACAGCAAAAAGAAAAGCTAATGGTGACACTGATGATAATAATGATGATGATAATGTCGGTGATCATGATGCTAAATAAGCTGAGCTTAAGGTGGGTGGTTGTTATTCTAAACCATTGGGTGAAAGTGTGTGTGGTGTTTGTTTTTTGGGTTTTTTTTTTGGTCGTAACAACTGTCAAAAGGTGATGGTTTCATTTGACAACACTTGGCTGATGACATAAAGTCAAAATTACTCTCTCAAGGGATATTGATGACTTTAAGAGGGCGTTTATTATGGATGTTTTATGGCTTAGAAAACATTTGGTTACAACACAACAGCACAACAACCACAACATTAAACACTATGTATATACTGTCTGCGAATACTAAATCAATATATAAGAAGAAGAAGAAGAAAAAAAAACTTAACAGCAATATCTTACATATACATTTTAAAAAACATATCAAAAAAACTGTCTAAAATCTTCTTTGAATATTTTTTTCACAAATATTCTTAAAGCAAGACTTAAAACAAACTTAAAACTAATGCGCAGGCGCATTAACCAATTTACTTAAATAATATGTTTACAGAACCATACATCCATAAGTTACAACAAACAACTAGACAACAAAATCATCATCATCGCTATTGCAACTTGAAGCCGATCCTTTAAAAATCCCCATAACTCCAGTTTTTGACACCAAACTATTAAAGTTAACTAAAGAAGTTGAAGTAAAAAAAAAGCTGCTAAAACTCTTGCCTGTATTAAATATTAAAAATATCCAATACTTTTTAACAACATGAAAAAACAAAAACATCAAAAAAAAATCTATTTATACTACCTTTTATCAGCCCCACAAAAACAACAACAACAAAAACTATATAATAATTATAAATATAATTAAAAAAAAGTATTACTGTTGATATGTAAATTTCTTTTTTTACTACATAACAATTATTCTTACTCTACTAAATTTCCGTTTCCTGTCTTTTGACTCTTTCCACTACTACACCCTTATTATCATTTAACTCCTTACTTGCTCTTTAACTTTTTTAGTAATTAATATTGATTTTTTATTTTTTTTTTTATATAATTAAGTTTTTAATTTTAATTGTCATCAGTATAAATAAATATTAATAAAAAAAAACAAAAACAAACTTTAATTACAAAATGTCTTAATAAATAAACAAATTATTTGTTTAGGTTATGAAAACAAAAAAAAATAAAACTGCGAAAAAATATTACTTTAACATTTAACAAAAATAAAAAAAATTTAAATAAAATATACATTCAAAGTGTCTATAGTAATGTTAATTTTAAATTTTTATTTTAATAATTATAATTATTATTATTTTTCTGTTTAATTGTAATAAGTTTTCATTTTGTAAATTTTATTATTTATAATTATTTACTTAAATTCAAAATTTAAACATTTTAAAAATAATAAAAAAATCTAAAAAAAACAACAAAATTGTGTAAAACTTTTTATTTTGTCAAAGGAAATGAAAATCCTATACAGAAAATTTCACCGTTTTTGAAAGCTTGGGGGAAGTTTAACATTGAATGCTGTACATTTAATAAGAGAATAGGAAGTGAACCGATGTTTATGTAACTAGTTCTATCGTTTTGTAAGAAGGTGACTTATCGTGGTAACAAAGCCGAATGAATCAACGGAAGTGTATAAGACTGGTTACAGTCTAGTAAATATTCTAGGATATAGCCAGTATATATGAATGTAGCTATATTTGTTTCTAGAGATAGTTCTGTTTATAGCTAAGTCTATAGTCGAACCTATAGTCGTACCTATAGTCCAGCCTCTAGTCTAGTACATTACCTAGTATATTTTCTAGTCTAAAGCCTACTCTATAGAATATAGTCTAGTTTATAGCCTATAGGCAATATTATGGTCAATAGTCTAGTCTATAACATAGTATAAGCATAAACATAAGTCTACAGTCTGTAGTGTCGTTGCAAGTCCAGTCTAAAGTCTAGCCAATAGTCTAGTAAAAAGTCTTGTCTATATTCTAGTCTAAGGTCTAGTCTATTATCTAGTCTCTAGTGTAGTCTGTCTAGTCTGTAGTCATGTGTATAGTCCAGTCTAGACTATAGCCTAGTCTAAAATCTAGTCTATAGCCAAGTATATAATCTAGCTTAAGTTAAGTCTATAGCCTATTGTATAGCATATTATAAAGTCAAGTTTACAGTCATGTCTCCAATAAATAGTCTAGTCTCTAGTGTAATCTACAGTCAAGTCTACAGTCTTGTTTTTAGTATAGTCTAGTTTATAGTCTAGACTATAGTCTAGTTTATAGTCTAGTCTATAGTCTAGTCTATAGTCTAGTCTAGTCTATAGTCTAGTCTATAGTCTAGTCTATAGTCTAGTCTATAGTCTAGTCTATAGTCTAGTCTATAGTCTAGTCTATAGTCTAGTCTATAGTCTAGTCTATAGTCTAGTCTATAGTCTAGTCTATAGTCTAGTCTATAGTCTAGTCTATAGTCTAGTCTATAGTCTAGTCTATAGTCTAGTCTATAGTCTAGTCTATAGTCTAGTCTATAGTCTAGTCTATAGTCTAGTCTACAGTCTAGTCTATAGTCTAGTCTACAGTCTAGTCTATAGTCTAGTCTATTGTCTAGTCTATAGTCTAGTCAATAGTCTAGTCTATAGTCTAGTCAATAGTCTAGTCTATTGTCTAGTCTATACTCTTGTCTATAGTCTAGTCTATAGTATAGTCTATAGTGTAGTCTATAGTCTAGTCTATAGTCTAGTCTAAAGTCTAGTCTATAGCCTAGTCTATAGCCTAGTCTATAGTCTAGTCTATAGTCTAGTCTATAGTCTATTCTATAGTCTAGTCTATAGTCTAGTCTATAGTCTAGTCTATAGTCTAGTCTATAGTCTAGTCTATAGTCTATTCTATAGTCTAGTCTATAGTCTAGTCTATAGTCTAGTCTATAGTCCAGTCTATAGTCTAGTCTATAGTCTAGTCTATAGTCTAGTCTATAGTCTAGTCTATAGTCTAGTCTATAGTCTAGTCTATAGTATAGTTCTATAGTCTAGTCTATAGTCTAGTCTATAGTCTAGTCTATAGTCTAGTCTATAGTCTAGTCTATAGTCTAGTCTATAGTCTAGTCTATAGTCTAGTCTATAGTCTAGTCTATAGTCTAGTCTATAGTCTAGTCCTATAGTCTAGTCTATAGTCTAGTCTATAGTCTAGTCTATAGTCTAGTCTATAGTCTAGTCTATAGTCTAGTCTATAGTCTAGTCTATAGTCTAGTCTATAGTCTAGTCTATAGTCTAGTCTATAGTCTAGTCATAGTCTAGTCTATAGTCTAGTCTAGTCTATAGTCTAGTCTATGTCTAGTCTATAGTCTAGTCTATAGTCCTAGTCTATTAGTCTAGTCTATAGTCCTCGTCTATAGTTCTAGTCTATAGATCTAGTCTCTTAGTCTAGTCTATAGTCTAGTCTATAGTCTAGTCTATAGTCTAGTCTATAGTCTAGTCTATAGTCTAGCTCTAGTCTATTAGTCTAGTCTAGTAGTCTAGTCTATAGTCTAGTCTAGTCTAGTCTAGTCTAGTCTATAGTCTAGCCTATGGCCTAGTCTATAGTCTAGTCTATAGTCTAGTCTATAGTCTAGTCTATAGTCTAGTCTATAGTCTAGTCTATAGTCTAGTCTATAGTATAGTCTATAGTCTAGTCTATAGTCTAGCCTATGGTCTGGTCTATAGTCTAGCCTATAGTCTAGTCTATAGTCTAGTCTATAGTCTAATCTATAGTCTAGTCTATAGTCTAGTCTATAGTCTAGTCTATAGTCTAGTCTATAGTCTAGTCTGTAGTCTAGTCTATAGTCTAGTCTATAGTCTAGTCTATAGTCTAGTCTATAGTCTAGTCTATAGTCTAGTCTAAAGTCTAGCCAATAGTCTGGTCTATAGTTTAGCTTATAGTCAACAGTCTAGCCTATAGTCTAGTCTATAGTCTAGCCTATATTCTAGTCTATAGTCTAGCCTATATTCTAGTCTATAGTCTAGCCTATATTCTAGTCTATAGTCTACTCTATATAGTAATCTACAGTTCCGTCTATTGTCTAGTGTACAGTCTTGTCTTTAGTTTAGTCTATAGTCAATACAGTCTACAATCTCGTCTAGGAGTTCCTCTAAGTCTATAGTATAGCCTGTAGTCAAGTCTATAGTCTAGTCTATAGTCAAGTCTATAGTCTAGTCTATAATCTAGCATATATTCTAGTCTATAGTCTGGTCTATAGTTTATCCTATAGTCTGGTCTATAGTTTATCCTATAGTCTAGTCTATAGTCTGGTCTATAGTATAGTCTACAGTATAGTCTACAGTCTAGTCTAAAGTCTAGTCTAAAGTCCAGTCTAAAGTCCAGTCTGAAATCAAGTCTAATGTCTAATCTAAAGTCTAGTCTAACGTCCAGCCTAAAGTCTAGTCTAAAGTCAAATCTAAAATCTAGTATAAAGTTTAGTCTATAGTCTAGTCTAAAGCCTAGTCTAGTCTATAGCATAGTCTATAGTCTAGTCTATTGTCTTGTCTATAGTCTAATCTATTGTTTAGTCTATAGTCTTCTCTATAGTCTTGTCTCTATTCCATAGTCTAGTCTATAATCCTGATTTTCACGTTATTTTAAAAGTCCTACAGGAAACAAATCACACATTTCGGTTTATAATTTACCCACCTTTTGAGATAACAAATTCAATTTAA